TTAATTATTTATTTTTTAAATCTTTTATTTTCGATATGCTCGCGCCCCCTTTGTAAGGTTATCGCGCCTCCCCAGGGGGGAGCGCCCCACAGTTTGAGAAACACTGAATTAAGCCGATGATATGTTATTCCAAGGTACACAGATGCAAAGCTGAAAATAATAATAAAGAACAGAAAGGGTAAGAGAAGGGGGAAATAATATGCATGATTCTAGCATTCTTGTAAATATAGCAAAAGTAATATAAATATAAAATACAAATGCACCGTACAGACCAGAAGAAAAAAAAGGTAGGGAAAACATTTGAGAAAGGAGGGAAAAAACCCTCTTTTTTTGTGACCACTTAGGAATACCAATCCAATCCCACATAAGGAATTTGATCCCGGATTGTAGAGGCAATTTTAATACATGATTTTAGTTTAAAGTGAATGGAAGGATTTCTCTAACAATAGATTGGAACCAGGCTTTTTTAGAATTTTGGGATGGAGAAATCAAATGGAAATCCTTAGTCAGAGGACATGCGAACACATAATGGTCAGCGTCCCCATCAGAACCACAAAGACAATTGGGAGTAGCTTTTAAGTTGAAGCGATGTAAATAAAAAACAAATGGGTCATGGTTTGTTAAGTATTGTGTGGCGTAACTGGGATGGGGGGGGGATTGATATCTAAACTGGGTTTGGGAAAGAAGGATTTAACTCTTAAGCCAGTATTAGAGTTTGACCACCAACTCTCCCATTACTCAATTAACTTATTTTAAAAGATATACATGACATAAGAGCGAGGGGCTAGAACACTCACCATTAGCCGTAGCGACTTCAGCGAACTGATCTGCAATATCATTTAAAAAATTATTATGATTCTTAACCCAGGAAATGTTATAAAAGTTGCGGTACATAGAGAGATTTTCTTTATTAAATTAGGATAAGACTTTAGGAACTTTAGGACTGTTAGAACTTTAAGAAAAAGAATGGATGATAAAATATTAATGTAAATATTAATTTTAACATTTTTTTAGTAACCACCCATAGGATGGAGAATCCGATTGCAGATACCTGCACTTGGAAAACAGTATTGAAGGGTTTTAATTTTAAAGTATAAATCCCATAAAGGGACCCCCGATAAGAAATGAACACCGCGAAACCGGCCTCAGTCCTAATTTTGGATCCGTCGGTGTACACATTCTACTCATTAGGCCCCTACAACTGATTAAATTTAGTAATTCTATTACAAGCTTTCACAGAGTGGAGAGAAATAAAATTTTCAATGGGGTAGAGAGAGAGAATGACAATCAATAGTATTATTAAATTCTGGGTTTCGAAGTTTCCTGATATGGTATTTAAGAAAAGCTTTATTAACAGAAAGGTGAATTGGGGGAGTACCAGATATGATTTGTAAGGCGTTTGTGGGTGAGGTCCTGAAGCTCTTCGAGATTTTTAAAAGATAAATTCTTTGAATAGATATGGATATGACGAGATGTGAGCGAGCCACCCCAAATTCCCGCACCTTAGATAATGATGGGTTCAATCACAATAAAGTACCACAAAAAAAAAAATTTAAAATTTTTAAAGTTAGAATTGAAAAACAAAATTTTATTAAACTGAAGGGACAATTGATAAATTCTCTCTTTTAAAAAATCAATGTGACGGAATCAAGAGAGCCGGTTGTCAATAATATGCCCAAGATATTTAATAGAGTCGACTACTTCTGTAGTAACATTATTGATTTTAAAGAAAGGTTTTTCTGCGAAACACAGTGCCATCACGGACTGTACACCTGAAAGCAACTGAGTAAGTTTTTTTCAGGAGAAATAACAAGTTTAAGATTTTTGAGTTTATTAGAGATTTGAGAGAGATCAAGAATTGAATTGGTCTCAATTTCCACAGTCCTTCAGCCTTACCCGTGTGGTGACTACAGCAAGGTCGTCTACAAAAGCTTGGATTAAAACAACTTCTGAGTTAAGGCCTAAGACTGGATTGAAATAAATGTGTTCCACAAGGTATGAGCAAGAATGGAACCCTGAGGACAGCCTTGACTAATTGGATGTTTAATCGAAAAATTAGGATTACACAAAAACAAAAAACCGATTAATCAAATAGGAATAAATAATTTTTTGAAAATAAAGCAGGATATTGTAATTGAGAAAAATTTAAAATAATATCAGCCGATTTATATTTCCAAACGCACTTTTAATGTCAATAAGTACTAAAGATGTGTGACCAGAAACCCTCTTAAAAATGAATTGTTAATGGGGGGGCATTCTCGCAACTGTAGTTCTCTCTAAAGCCAAATTTATTTTTGTGAATAATGTTATGATTAGTTAACCAAGTGGGAAGCTTATTAGCAAAAACACGTTCAATAATTTTCCCGAGGGTAGGTAACAAACAAATCGGCCGATACGAATGAAATGAGGATGGGTCCTTACCATGTTTTAATAAAAGCTTTAATTTAGAATTTTTTAAGATATTAGGGAAATAAGAAAACTTAATACACACAAAGATTAATAATTCTTAAAATTACATGCGGATAGTTAGAATAAATTATTTTCCAAATATTATAATTTATATTATCGATCCCAGGGGCCTTGCCAGCGTTTAAATCCCGAAAAACAATCTACACCTCCTCAAAGATATCTTCAGGTGGTAAACAATTATTAAAATTAATGACAAAAGGGAAAGGAGATTAGGGGAAAAGAGTACATATAAAAGTTTTTCAATTTTCTGTTTTGGAGTTGTATTAAGCGAGTCTGAGAGAGAAATCTCTATAGCATTGAAATTAATATCCTTACCAAAAGCGACTTTAAAATTTAAACCATACCTTTCAATATTGAATTGGCAGTAATGCTCCCAGGCTTCCCGTTCGGTTTGAATAATCAGTTTTTTAAAGTAAAAGTTTTGCTTTTTTATAAAATTTTATAAAAGTCTCTACCTCACTGATAGGAAAAATATTTCTAAATAAGAACTGCAATTTTCTCTTAAAGGCATTAGCTTTATTCCTATTGATTTTTAAGTTAGAATTCCACCAGTTAAAAGTTCGAGCAGGAAGGATTACGAAAAATTTTAAAAGTAGATGACTTCACGTGATGGATAAAAACACCTATAAACTCCTCCAGCTGATCAATATTACAGAAAGTGTCTGCCTTATTGTTCATTTAGTCATAATGATACCCATATTTGGTTTTAAGACAAAAGTCTGAAACTAGTAGATCACCACGGAGCCACGCACCAATAAACCGATGGCCCTTAAGAGATTCCTGGTCCAGACCTCCCACTTATTTATTAAATAGTAGATATTGTTAGAGATAAGGGTGATAATTATCAGGATTTCCTGTCCCGGAGTGAGCCTCAAAAGTGGGGCCTAACTCCATGATATCACAAATATGGAGATTTTTCTGTAAGATAAAATCAACCCGAACATGAGTATAATTGTAACTCTAGATCGGGGGTCTCTCGAGGCTATTGATGATTAGCCTTTTAACTACTGTCAAGTGATGAGGAAGATACCTAAGCTGGAACTTCCTCCACCACAATTGCCAATGCAAGGACTTTGAGCCTTGACAGATTTGAGCCCCTCTGCACTGTGAAATGAACCTCACCTCATGTTTTGTAGTGAGCAAGAGTGAAACGCTTTTGTCATCTGATCTCAGCTCAAAATATCAATTTCTCCTCTAATTTCCCTTGCTTCTATTGGCCCCCTTTTATTAATTCAATTAAAATTTTATGAAACGAAACGTGTGAAAATTAACCTACGGAAATATTTCAAGAACAATTTATCATTCTTTTTTGGGGGTATCTTTAAAGAATAATTCTTTTCTGCGTTATTAAATTAACAAGATATTAAAGAGTAGACATGGGAATCATTGCTTTGAAAAATTAAAAATTTTACCTTTAAAAGGGTTTTAAGATTTAAAATCAAACTTGAAAATAAAATCACAAAAAGGAGCCCGGAAAATATATTTTAAAAAAAATCGCATAAGACACAATGGTGTATTGTTATTTGATTCAGCACTTTTCTCTTTCTCATGAGTCAGTCACCATTAATTTAAGCGCGTTATTACAGAACATCCTTCGGAGCTATTATGCGTGGAAGAAAAGATTGATGTATTAATATTTTATAAAGGAAACAGCATATTATATAGGAGTTATTATCGTGGAGTATTAATGACAAAACTATGGTAGGGAAGGTTGAAGGAAGTTAAGAAGCATGTGTGCAATTCTTTGCTTACAGTGGTGAGGTATCTTCATTGCCAACAAAAGCCTCTAATGAGATCACGACTGCAGATTGCTATTTAGAATGATTTAATGCGTGATCATCCAAGCTTCCGAAGACCACCCGTGGTCTTTCTGAACATTTCAAGATCTAATTACAAAACGAATTTCTTTGTAGCTGTTTCTTCTCTTATAAACAAAATTGGATTCAGTTTTATGAGCATCTATATGTATATAAACACTAATTTAAAATTCTTAATATATTTCCAATTCCAAAAGAATGATTACAATAATAATAAGTTATTTCCCTTGCATAAAAAACACGCTTTTCTTAATTTTCTTCATGGTGACTTGCATTTTATATTTTCAATGCTTCAATAAAATATAAATTTAAGCAACCTTCATTACAATGCTTTGAATTGAAAGTTTTTAACATTCCACTTTATTATAAAATTCAAAAGGAAAGTTATCTCACGTGAAATCGATGATCTCATACTTAATCCCTGGATTTGTGTAACTTTCACTCTTTTCTCGTTTCTAGAATCATTTTTTTTTCCAATTCCTACTATTAGTTCCCTCTCTTCCTACATATATATATTTTGTTCAAATTTTCAAACGTTAAAAAATACTTTCTGTTCATTCATTCAAGTTCAAATACATTTTTTCAAACTTGTAGCGGATGACACTTGATCTTAATACAGCTTTTTTCAAATATGAATTAATTAATGAATAAATAGTAACAAACACAAAAATAATAGTCCAAAAGCATATATAGAAAAGTAAAATCGTTCGTTGCGTCCCAGTAGCGCAATGGAAAGCGCGTTGGACTTCTAATCCAAAGATCGTGGTTTCGAATCCCACTTGGGATGGCCTAATTTCTGAGAATGAGATTTCATTTTACTATGCTATTTTATTTGAATAATTAAATTTAATTAATGAATAAATAGTAAAAAACAAACAAAAAATAGTCCCACACCCTATATAGGAAATTGCAAGGAAAACTGCTTTCTATTTTGTCATTTAATATTGTGATTCTGTCCTATGTATATACATATTAATATGAATTGTAACTATTTAATAAAAAGTAAGTAAAATAAAATGTTTCTTTGTCGACCTAAGAAGAAATTTTGTTTATATTCCTTGTTCATGTTTTATATACGTAGATGAATTGTTAATTGGAGACAAGTGCTATCGAATTCTGAACCGCATTGAAGTGACAACACCTAAGAGCCCAATCTAACGTGACTCAACGAAACCACTAGTTGGCGACCGTAATCAGTCAACTGATGCAATTTCAAAGAATTTGGGGGAAACTTTTGTGGAAAAGTGAGAGCAATTTCTTCCCTAATGGGTAGCCTAGTGGTTAGAGCATCAGACCGGAAGGCCTAAGTTCGATGCCACCAAATACCCTCCGAGTACACACGGAGTACGTGCTCGTTAAATCAATGGGTCCGAAAGTCTTGCGGGCTGTATCCCGAGGGCAGGGGATTGGAGAATATTTCCCTCCCCTTCAGTTCCATGCCTAAATTGTGGAGGTGGAGACCAGTGGTGTCGCCATCAATCGTCTCTTCGGGAATTTCGCCGAGCCAATTCGTAATGTCACCTATATGGTGCTCAAGGCTAACGACAGGTGTACTTCTAACCCCTTGCCACGATGAATTTCGTGGGCCTCGATCTGACTACGTCAGACAAGTGGCATTAGAAACAACAACACATATAATGGAGTGGGTAGGATCACGAATTTGTGGCCGGCTCATTTTTGTCGAGTCATAGGTTCAATTGATTTTACCATTAGAAACTCGCCATAATGAGTCTGTAAGTCTTAAAACTAGCGTGTTGTGGAAGTTTGACAAGTGGAGTACCATCTCGGGTGTTGCTTTCGTCACTTGACCGTTGTTCAAAGTGACGAGGTTCGTCGCCAGTAGACCTCAGAACTTAGTAGAGCGGTCTGAAACAAACGCAATTCTTTCTTTTTTCTTGTAGATAACACCCAGGAATCTATTTTTAGGAGTGTAGCATTTACATCAAATGCATTGGGATTATTTAAATTGAATGTGAATTTTAGAGGACATTTTTTTAAAAGGTAATTTGAGGTAGTTTCGAAATCTATATTAATTAATGATGAACTTTTTGATTTCTAAGAAAATAAGTTTCACATATTTCTCCCATCAAAATTAATTTAAAACAATGTCTCGCATTAATCTCGTATAAAAAATCTCGTATTATGTCATCGAACAATTTTGAAAGGAATTAAATAGCGTTATTACCTCATTACATATTTAATATTTAAATTAAAATATTATGTTTTTTATTTCAAAATAATTCCAAATACTGCTACTGAAATTCTTATTTCAACATTTTTTTTAAACTTTTCGATTTTCCTCTAGAATAATTACAGGATTTGTATAGGACGATACGGGGCAAGTCCATATCATGATCTGTAGGCAGTTTGTCAAATTTTTAACTTCTTTTTGAAACGATTAATAATTTTAGGTAATAATCAGAAATCAAAAATTTATTTTCCCAGCATAGCTAAAGAAACTGAAATTTAAAATCTGATTGTAGGAGTAAGAATCATTAATCCAATAATTGAGAGCTTTCTACTTGTTTATTACTACATTGTGATATATTAGAAAATTGAAATAGATTTTTTTCTGTATATATGAGACTTGAGCAATATTTTCATGTCTTCAATTCAAATTAAAAGGCTCTCATTCCAACAGAAAGAAGGATATCTATTTTTGAGAGACTTTTGTTGGATGTAGCTTATTTATGGCATTCTTTGAGGTTAATTACAAAACTTTATTCTGAGAATCAAATCAGTATAAATAATCTACGTCTTGAGTAATCCAATACATAATATTTCAGTCCTGAAAAGAGATAAAATAAAGTGCATGTTTATCGCAACCTTTTATTCCTTCCTAGGGTTCAATGTACGTTCATTTCGTTGATTTGGTGAAGAAGTTTTAGGTGCCAGCTCAGGTGCCACTTGATCAAGGTTCCAAATGACGAGGTCCGTCGCCTCTAGCTCTCTTGTTGTATCCAAATGCGATTCTAATAAATAACCATCAATCAATAATATCTATTTCTTCCCAGATTCGTTAGAGGATTTCTGGTTCAAGTACCGAACTTTTATGCCTAGCGAATTCGGCTTAGCAAATATTTACTTAGATGTGATACAGACTGAAGTATGTCGAGACTCGTAACCTTCTCATAGATGTCGACTCCAGTTTCGATGTTTGAATTAGGTAGAGATGGGTAATTTGAAACATTTTACAAGAAAATGATGTTCTTATTGTTGCATAAATGTGAAAAATAGCAATCTCTACAACCAATCCCACTTAAGATGAGAAATATTCCTTCGAAAATATTATCTACAAATAATTTTTAGTGCTTTTGTATTAACCCCATGCTAGCGATTTATAGACAAAGGTTAACTGCATATCAGAGATTAATCATCAAAGATTTTACGAGTTATGAAAACATATTTCAATTTGAGCCCTTTTCAGCCTTGTTGCTACATTTTTCAACCCATAATTTCACCAATGATACGAGGTTAATATGCATAAATACTCTATTTTGCAAAAGTAATTTTATATCATTAGGTTTGAAACGAACCAGAATTCGTTTTAATGTTGAATGGAGACTTATCAACTATTTTAACGTCATCTCAAAGATAAATTGCAATGGGAACGAACAATTGCAATGCAATGGGAAATGAAATTAGTAAATTGCAATGGGGAATGACCATCGAATTCTAACCTATAGTAAAGATACTTCTCAATAGAGTTACAATCACTCAAGGTTCTAACTCCAGAACATCAACAGCACTTAAACGACTCGAACGTAGCTTCTCAAACTTGCATGTAACTCATCGATTCTAATCAAAACAACATATAATCTCCGATTTGCGATTGTAGCCCTATACAATCCCAATTTAACATCTAACAGCTTGAGCCTCATCTTTTCCTACTATCTTACTTCAGATAGCTTTGAAATCAATCTTAATCTGCATATCACGGTTCCTTCACAAAGCGAGCTTCTGAAATCAAGCAAACAAAATAGAATTTCCCAGATGTTAATTGAAAATGCATGAGAATCCGCTACTAGTTCAATCTTTACTTTTCATTAAAAAACACCCATCTTATCCTTTCTACACTGCAGCTGTTTTTCCAGAAAATTACATTTTTTTTTATTTTCTTAGACCTCTCAGTAAATATCTGCCTGATGTAAAATAAAACTATACCACCATATAAAAATTTTTAAGCTGTTAAATTAAATTTGAATATATTTGAGTGCAGTTTTTTTTTTCATAGAACACTTTTAATTTTACTTTCCTTTATTTACGAAGCTAATGTTTATATAGTTTGTTCGAAAAAATTTTCATTTATATTCATGTCATTTATTTCATTTTTATCTATGTATTCTTCAAGGGATAATATTGTCAGTAGAAACCATTTGTGAATGCTAACAATTGAGAAAAAAAGCAATTTCAATCTTATTATGATTCCTTGTATTTTGAAAAAAGAATTATTGGTATATAAATTATTCTGTATGCTCATGTTTATTATAAAATACATCCCTTTCTGTAATCTTTTACATATTCGCTAGCTAGAATGCAATTATAAATCTGTTAAACCGGCAGTTCACACGCAAGGTATGTCATACCCACCTACTAACTTTTTTCAATTCTCCTAATTTATTTTTTTTTGAAACTGGATAGTTCCTCGTGTAGCTGACTTTACGCTCATATCCTTAGAAAATTCATAACTTGTAGGCGAACTCTGAATATACATTTTTGGATACCACCTCTTCGGGTATGTCATACCCTGTGCGTGAATTGCTGTTACAGTTCAGAATACATAAGCATGCTTTAAAATCTTTCTTATGCTATGTATTTATGATGCAGACAAGCGAAATTTAAATAATTTGATAAATACAGTATTTAATAGACATAGTACTACAGTATTTTCGGATGAAGAAAGCTCCTTTACGATGATGATGAGGAAGAATCAAATGAGGAAAAGTATCATAGTAAGAACGGCTCCTCTACTGAAATCGATCCAAATTTAGAAGAGGAAGACACTCTTGAAAATAAATGCTTTTAAGGAGAGACAAAGGAACATTTTAGAGGAACATAATATTAAAAGACAACTAGTATACCTTGTATCCACTTTCAGATAATTATATATTTTTGAACAAGAAAATAACTATTGCTGAAACAGTAAGAGTAAATAAAGAAAATCCAAACTGTTTGAATTAAAAAAATAGAGGAATTTATATATACTCCTCTATGGTTGGTTTAGAAATATGCAACAATTGTTTCAAAAACACCTGGTAGAACCCCCCCTCAGTATAGAGGGCGCTGTTTGTAAAATCAAGCTTTGTTTACACCAGAGATCTGATGTACGTGACCGAGTGCAGACGCACTCCATATTCCATTAAACTTATTATTTAATCTTACACTTGTCTTCGATGATTTATTGAATTAAATTGAGTCTAATGATTGTGATGATATGAGCGTTGATTGCTATAAAAGCATTCTACCATTGATTAACTGATTACTTGAACCACTGATGAATGTAATATTTGGTGCAACGGCCTGTGAATCGGAAATTGATGAAAGAATCATTTTTGGTAGCCTCGACCAAAAAGTAGAAATATCATCGTCGACAGTGAATTCAAGTTAGCCGAATTTTTATTGAAACTGAATTATACCTGAATAGAAGATTAAAATGTCAGAAGATCTCTCAAAATTTAAAAAGAAGCGTACTGCGGTACGTTCTTCGTTGACAAAATTGATAAATAAAATTGAAGGAAAGATCAACAATGAAAATGAACCTGTTGTTCAATTTGAAGCTTTTGTAGA